ACCATTACATTTACACACCAACCCACCCACCCACCCTTACAAAAACTTCCTGGGGAAGGCAGAGAAACCAATGCACTTCCATTCCCTGGCTATTTTTGGAAGGCATTTGGACTCTACAGTGATGGATGCTGGTTTAATAAGGAAAGGAAAAAGACAAAAGAGAAAAGGAGGTAAATGAGACTAGATTAGAAAACAACGGAACTGATGTGACAAAAACGTCTGTTTACAGAGGCTGAAACAAATGGTAAGGGATGAAGCACTCGGTTCAATGAAACCCTCCCGATCGCAGAGCTGCCAGAACAATACGACCTAAGAGAATTTCAAAGAATAGCTGTAATTAGCATTTAGCGGGGGGCGGAGGGGAGAACGACTCTTGGGGATAAGATCAAAATGCTCGGCACTTTTCATTCTCGAAAAAAAAGCAGCGCCTTAGCTGCTACCGAGAAGTCAATATCCCTAGATGGTAATGCAACAAGAATCCATCATTTTAAATCACCTTTCCTCCCAAGGAGCACCACATTATTTATAAGCGCACAATTGCTGGCGTGCAAATGCCACGTGCCGCCCACCACAGAACGGAGGCCACCTCTTGCATGCAACACGACAGCTGTTTAAACAACATACGGCCATGCTACAGGACCGTTCGGGCCCGGAAAGGAAAGCCGGGTCAGCGGGACTCAAATCCCCGCCAGCTCCGAGCAGCCTGCTGAGTTGGTTGCATCTGATTGCACATACAGCCTCCGTTTCCACCTGTATCGGAGCCCAGAAACCTGGAGCACCTGGGAGGAAGCCCGAGGCAGCCGCGGGACTTCATTCGGTAAGAACAGATTCACCCCCAATGGACAGGACCCTAAGATTGCCTCCCCTGCTGCTACAATGAAGATCACGGGGTATGTAAAGCACTGCACACAAGGTCAATTAAGCGCCCCCTTTTTTTTCCTTCTTTGTGTGAACGATAGCTGTCTGACTGCTAATTTCAGCGCTATTACCACATCACCGGGTGGCCTTAAATTCCTGCCCACTGAACGCTGACCCGGACCCGACCCGGCTTCGCTGCAAGAAGCAACAGGCCGGTAGCACAATAGCCGGCTCAGGCCTGAGACATTCCTTTTGAATTTGGTAGCTCCTGGACCTCGTCATGATGCTTATCTATTTATTTCTTTTGCAACCGGGTGAATTTGTATTTTTTTCTCTCTAAGGGGTGTGGATACAGGAGAGGTGGAAGCAATGGTTTGGTTTGTAACCTTAAACCACAGACAAACTGCACAGTAATCTCCCTGCAGCTGCTCTCCGGGCAGGAGGGAAGGGATGGGGGGGGGGGGGGGCAAAAAAAAAAAAACAAAAACAGAAAAGGA